GCAGAAGCCTGAAACCCGACCTCCTGTATAAGCAGGGCCCTCCTATATATTCAATGAATAATATTAAACCACTAAGGGTCATACACTGCCTTGAGAATGGAAAGTAATCTAGTTTGATCCAGGGAAGGGGAGGGTAACTAATTCCCTGGATCAAGAGCCTTTCAACAGCATCAAGGCACCCCCTTCTTTGAAGGGAGGTCCAGGCCACAGGGGCTTTGACTTCCAGAACACCTTCCAGGTATATCCTTTAGGGGAATGAATAGAAGCTTAAACTTTAAACAGCTGTGCACAGTACAGTATTAGTGAATTATCAAGTAGCATTATAGTAATGCAGACTGACCTGAAGCCACATTTCTTTCTTATTAAGTAGCATTACAGTAATGCAGACTGACCTGAAGCCACATTTCTTTCTTGACTACCTGATTAACCAGGGTGTGACTTCTGGAAGCCTGCATGCTGACAAAGTAAACAGTCATCACAACCTGACTGATCTGACATTCTGAGAAGGCTGTGGTCCAGTTTCTTTGTGAAAACTTCTACTTTTGTTCCTGTAGTTTTGCTAAGAGTAAACCTTGTCCTCACAGTGTATTTCATAGAGCAACGTATTTCCTTAATATGTTTGATAGCATGACTACTCAGTGCAAAAATATATAAAGTACACCTACAGATGTATCAAAGAAAACAGTCAAACAAAAACAGCAACACAGTTAGTATTCACATTAAGATGAAATATATATTTTTTTTTTTCTTCAACAAGTCAGCCGTCTCCCACCGAGGCAGGGTGACCCAAAAAGAAAGAAAATCCCCAAAAAGAAAATACTTTCATCATCATTCAACACTTTCACCTCACTCACACATAATCACTGTTTTTGCAGAGGTGCTCAGAACACAACAGTTTAGAAGCATATGCGTATAAAGATACACAACATATCCCTCCAAACTGCTAATATCCCAAAACCCCTCCTTTAGAGTGCAAGCATTGTACTTCCCATTTCCAGGACTCAAGTCTGGCTATATAAAAATAACCGGTTTCCCTGAATCCCTTCACTAAATATTACCCTGCTCACACTCCAACAGATCGTCAGGTCCCAAATACCATTCGTCTCAATTCACAGGTAGGTAAAGAAATCTCCATGGGGAAGTGGAAAAGAATTCTTCCTCCATAAGCCATGTATGTTGTAAGAAGTGACTATAATGCTGGGAACAAGGAGGCTTGTAGCCCTTTCTCCAGTATAAATTAGTAAATGTAAAAAAGGTTTATTAGCCCTTAAACGGTCCAAACGTATATATATGTTCTCTCGCGTAGCGCCCCAAACGTATATATATGTTCTCCCGCATAGCGCCCCAAACATATATATGTATACGTGTCCTTTGTCATTCATTCAACATTGGCATGATAAGCCTGAGTTGCCTAGACATGAGAGAATGGGTGTGCGCACTCACCGTGTGCCTTATGAAAAAAATTAGGGATGCCTGGGTACCATATGCTCTCTTTTCCTATTAAAAAAAAATTTTTTTTTTTTCTCAAAATATTCGGGGCGCTCTGCGAGAGAACGTATATATACATTTGGACCGTTTAAGGGTTAAAAAAAACAAAAAGTTAAGAAATAAGTATATTGGGCCAACACATCAATTATTCATATTAACATGAAATATATACAATTATTATTATTATTATCACACTGGCCGAATCCCACCAAGGCAGGGTGGCCCAAAAAAGAAAAACTTTCACCATCATTCACTCCATCACTGTCTTGCCAGAAGGGTGCTTTACACTACAGTTTAAACTGCAACATTTAACACCCCTCCTTCAGAGCGCAGGCACTGTACTTCCCATCTCCAGGACTCAAGTCCGGCCTGCCGGTTTCCCTGAACCCCTTCATAAATGTTACTTTGCTCACACTCCAACAGCACGTCAAGTATTAAAAACCATTTGTCTCCATTCACTCTTATCAAACACGCTCACGCATGCCTGCTGGAAGTCCAAGCCCCTCGCACACAAAACCTCCTTTACCCCCCCCCCTCCAACCTTTCCTAGGCCGACCCCTACCCCGCCTTCCTTCCACTACAGACTGATACACTCTTTAAGTCACTCTGTTTCGCTCCATTCTCTCTACATGTCCGAACCACCTCAACAACCCTTCCTCAGCCCTCTGGACAACAGTTTTGGTAATCCCGCACCTCCTCCTAACTTCCAAACTACGAATTCTCTGCATTATATTCACACCACACATTGCCCTCAGACATGACATCTCCACTGCCTCCAGCCTTCTCCTGCTGCAACATTCATCACCCATGCTTCACACCCATATAAGAGCGTTGGTAAAACTATACTCTCATACATTCCCCTCTTTGCCTCCAAGGACAAAGTTCTTTGTCTCCACAGACTCCTAAGTGCACCACTCACCCTTTTCCCCTCATCAATTCTATGATTCACCTCATCTTTCATAGACCCATCCGCTGACACGTCCACTCCCAAATATCTGAATACATTCACCTCCTCCATACTCTCTCCCTCCAATCTGATATCCAATCTTTCATCACCTAATCTTTTTGTTATCCTCATAACCTTACTCTTTCCTGTATTCACTTTTAATTTTCTTCTTTTGCACACCCTACCAAATTTATCCACCAATCTCTGCAACTTCTCTTCAGAATCTCCCAAGAGCACAGTGTCATCAGCAAAGAGCAACTGTGACAACTCCCACTTTATGTGTGATTCTTTATCTTAACTCCACGCCTCTTGCCAAGACCCTCGCATTTACTTCTCTTACAACCCCATCTATAAATATATTAAACAACCACGATGACATCACACATCCTTGTCTAAGGCCTACTTTTACTGGGAAATAATTTCCCTCTTTCCTACATACTCTAACCTGAGCCTCACTATCCTCGTAAAAACTCTTCACTGCTTTCAGTAACCTACCTCCTACACCATACACCTGCAACATCTGCCACATTGCCCCTCTATCCACCCTGTCATATGCCTTTTCCAAATCCATAAATGCCACAAAGACCTCTTTAGCCTTATCTAAATACTATTCACTTATATGTTTCACTGTAAACACCTGGTCCACACACCCCCCTACCTTTCCTAAAGCCCCCTTGTTCATCTGCTATCCTATTCTCCGTCTTACTCTTAATTCTTTCAATAATAACTCTACCATACACTTTACCAGGTATACTCAACAGACTTATCCCCCTATAATTTTTGCACTCTCTTTTGTCCCCTTTGCCTTTATACAAGGAACTATGCATGCTCTCTGCCAATCCCTAGGTACCTTACCCTCTTCCATACATTTATTAAATAATTGCACCAACCACTCCAAAACTACATCCCCACCTGCTTTTAACATTTCTATCTTTATCCCATCAATCCCGGCTGCCTTACCCCCTTTCATTTTACCTACTGCCTCACAAACTTCCCCACACTCACAACTGGCTCTTCCTCACTCCTACAAGAGTTATTCCTCCTTGCCCTATACACGAAATCACAGCTTCCCTATCTTCAACATTTAACAATTCCTCAAAATATTCCCTCCATCTTCCCCAAAACCTCTAATCTCCATTTAATAACTCTCCTCTCCTATTTTTAACTGACAAATCCATTTGTTCTCTAGGCTTCCTTGACTTGTTAATCTCACTCCAAAACTTTTTCTTATTTTCATCAAAATTTGTTGATAACATCTCACCCACTCTCTCATTTGCTCTCTTTTTACACTGCTTCACCACTCTTTTAACCTCTCTCTTTTTCTCCATATACTCTTCCCTCCTTGCATCACTTCTACTTTGTAAAAACTTCTCATATGCTAACTTTTTCTCCCTTACTACTCTCATTCCACCAATCGCTCCTCTTCCCTCCCGCACCCACTTTCCTGTAACCACAAACTTCTGCTGAACACTCTAACACTACATTTTTAAACCTACCCCACACCTCTTCGACCCCATTTCCTATGCTCTCATTAGCCCATCTATCCTCCAAAAGCTGTTTATATCTTACCCTAACTGCCTCCTCTTTTAGTTTATAAACCTTCACCTCTCTCTTCCCTGATGCTTCTATTCTCCTTGTATCCCATCTACCTTTTACTCTCAGTGTAGCTACAACTAGAAAGTGATCTGATATATCTGTGGCCCCTCTATAAACATGTACATCCTGAAGTCTACTCAACAGTCTTTTATCTACCAATACATAATCCAACAAACTACTGTCATTTCGCCCTACATCATATCTTGTATACTTATTATCCTCTTTTTCTTAAAATATGTATTACCTATAACTAAACCCCTTTCTATACAAAGTTCAATCAAAGGGCTCCGTTTATCATTTACACCTGGCACCCCAAACTTACCTACCACACCCTCTCTAAAAGTTTCTCCTACTTTAGCATTCAGATCCCCTACCACAATTACTCTCTCACTTGGTTCAAAGGCTCCTATACATTCACTTAACATCTCCCAAAATCTCTCTCTCTCCTCTACATTCCTCTCTTCTCCAGGTGCATACACGCTTATTATGACCCACTTTTCGCATCCAACCTTTACTTTAATCCACATAATTCTTGAATTTACACATTCATATTCTCTTTTCTCTTTCCATAACTGATCCTTCAACATTACTGCTACCCCTTCCTTTGCTGTAACTCTCTCAGATACTCCAGATTTAATCCCATTTATTTCCCCCCACCGAAACTCCCCTACCCACTTAAGCTTTGTTTCACTTAGGGCCAGGACATTCAACTTCTTTTCATTCATAACATCAGCAATCATCTGTTTCTTGTCATCTGCACTACATCCATGCACATTCAAGCATCCCAGTTTTATAAAGTTTTTCTTCTTCTCTTTTTTAGTAAATGTCTACAGTAGGTTAAAAAAACAAGTATATTGGGCCAATAAGTCAATATGTGATGGTTAGGGTGAAAAAACTGTAAATCTTTGTTCCTAAAATTATATTTGCTAGCTTTATTTTGAAGGGAAAAAACAGTATACTGTGACTGTACCTAGCTTCTTTATCCTTAGTTAGATCCACAGCATCAGGGACATACTCCTCTGGGTGAGCCAGTAAAGGAAAGAAAGTCAGCTGCTGATCACAGCGGTCGATCTCAAGCTGATCAATGGTTCCCCCAGGCCACCCACCCACAGGAGGATGAGGCAAGGGAGACTGAAGGCCAGAAGATCCTGCATAGTTCTCTCCCCATGAATATTTCTCAGTATCTGTACACAAATATATACCATACAATAAAAAGAAAAATATGGTTTTGTGTTAATTGATATTTAATCCCTTTTTTATATTCAAAATTCAATAAAAATAAAATTTTATTTTATCAAATGCAACATAATGCTCTACTATATGTAACTTTATATACAAACCTACTCTTATAATTTCACATACAAAATGTTGTATTTACATCACTATTTGCAACAAGCTGTCATGGCAGTGAAATTAATGAAAGTAAGTTCAAAGGCTGAGTAATTTTGGGGCATTCTTGTAAGCCATGTGTCCTATCTAACTCTACTGAAACTCAGTATTTTCTATGTGTTCTTCTACGTGTTAAAAGAAAATGCATTTATAATGAGAACCTTAATTTTCAGTAAAATGTTAACACAAAGCTATGATACTTCCTCAACAAAGAAATATGTTATACAACACAAGAGTGGAGCATCAATATTGAATACCTCTCAAAACATTTATATAATTCTAGGTACTTTATTGTACCTTTTATTTGTCAGAAAGAAATGAGGAGAGATGAAATTGTCAGAAATGATACAGAAAACATAACAGCTTCTTCAGTGATGTTAAAAGGCTAGTAAGTTCTAAAGACATTCACCATTCCAAATTCACTGAGAAAGTATTCCTAAAAGTTCTCTCAAATTCATAAATCCTATCTGTATAATAAGCCTTTATTTCAGCTGGTTTTCATTTCAGAGACCATCTCCCCTTAAAGATTGCTATAGCCTCACTGATATCACCATTTGTAAGAAAAAATATCCCCCCTCTTCTTCACCAAAAAAAAAGAAAGATTTGAATGTGAGAAATTCAGCAAGTATATTGTCAACAAAATTCTACCTGGTTTTCAATAATATGGTTGCATGCTAAACCAAATACAATGGCCACCATGAAAAATCCTAGTAAAAGCACTGAATAATGACTTAGTGAACACAAAAGCCACCTTTTAACTCAGTCAATCAACAAATTCTTAAGTTAGATTAGTACAGTAGAACCCTGGTTTTCGTCCGGTCCGGTTATTGTACAATTCAGTTTTCGGCCAATTTTTTTAGCGAAATTTTCCTCATTTTCCTACATCCACTCGGAAATTGTCCATACCAGATGCATCCACCTGCCCATGGGACACAGCTGCTCATACGTTTGTGATTCAGTCTGTCATTGTTACTCATTCAGTGAGGAAGAGAGGGGGGAGAATGTGCCTTCTTCAGCAATTAAGGACATTTGTGCAAACTGGAGTGAGCCGCAAAGTTTTGTGGAGAAATATCACCCTAACAAAGCTGCTGCAAGTCTTGTCAGCAACATGTTCAATGACAATTCCATGTCCCATTTCAGGCAAATCTTAAATGTTAAATGTTTATTTATCCATTTCATTAGTCATTTATGTTTATTTCTCATTGTTTTCTGTATGTAAAACTATAGTTATTCTCTATAAAATGTATTTTTTGTTAATATTTTTGGGTGTCTGGAACGGATTAACTGGATTTACATTATTTTTTATGGGAAATATTACTTCAGTTTTCGTACAAATCAGTTTTCGCCCGACCTTCTGGAATGGATTACAGATGAAAACCAGAGTTCCACTGTACTTACTTATTATGATTATTAATTCCAACATACATACACATATAAATAAGTAAAAAAAAATACACAGGTTTTTCATCCAAACATAACTAACATAGGTACTTACAGCATCATAAATGCAATTAACAAATTATTATTTTCTGTTCCATTGTCCATATTCACTTCCTAAAATGCATATCTTCCTAACCTAACCTAAATAATGTCTAAAAGAAATCACAAGATTTTTTTTTTTTTTGCACATAAATTTTACAAGTTAAGAGCTCCTATTATAACCTCAGTGTATGTCAAAGCCCAGCCTTACCTAAAGTATACTACCACCACCTGGGATGCAACCCAAAACAGGCAACTAACACCCAGGTATCAACTTACTGCTAGGTGAACAGTGTCAGCAGGTGTAAGGAAACATGCCCAATGTTTCCACCCATGTCAGGGATTATATCACGGACACTCAGAAGGTGGGCTGAGTGTACTACCAACTGAGCCATGGGATATATAAAAAGCTAAGTTTTATTATGATGTTATAAGTACGCATGTTATTTCTGTCTGGAGGCACAGCTATTATGTTACATTTTAACTTGTACAATGTACATATATTGGCATTCTTATTTATAAAAGCATCTAACTCATAAAGAGGAGGACAGATTTTGTTAATCAGTGCTGACGGCAGTTGTGCTCTATATACAATACTGAATGTTTCTTACCACATTCTTCTGCACCTCTAAGAAATGCTCCAATAGCTCCCAAGTATCCTTCATGTCGTAAAAAGAGCGCCTGCACTGCTCCACGGCTCCAGTAGTTGATAGCAAAGCTTATAGTGTGCATGCTAACTGGGTGGTTACGTAGGAAGTAACCTCCAAAGTATACCTACAGAAAAAATGTATGTATGTACACCGCACTGCAACAAGCAATATAAAATTATTCATTCATTATTATTATTTCTGCTTTGCTACATGATATTGTACATTACACAGTAAGTACAGTCCCATATACAATTATGCTGTTAGTAAATAATAAAATGCACACATTAACTAATGAGGCATTAAGCCTCACCGAACCTTATATAACCTAAAATCGTCTAGGAAATGGATATCAGTGAAAATTCATGACAATAGGTCAAATAAGTACAACCTGCCTAGATACAACCTGCCCAGGTACAGCCTGCCCAGGTACAACCTCCCTAGGTACAACCTGCACAGATAAAACCTGCCCAGGTACAACCTGTCCAGGTATAACCTGCCCAGGTACAACCTGCCTAGGTACAACCTGCCCATGTACAACCTGCCCAGGTACAACCTGCTCAAGTACAACCTGACCAGGTACAACCTGCCCAAGTATAACCTACCCAAGTATAACCTGCCCAGGTACAACCTGACCAGATACAACCTGCCCAAGTACAACCTGCCCAAGTACAACCTGCCCAAGGTGTCCCATAGCTTGACTGCTAGCTCACTCAGCTCACACACTGAGGTCTGGGGGTCGATCTCTGGTACAGCTGGAAAACATTAGGACTTTTTTCCATAAGACACTTGCTGTCCATGTTCACCTATCAGTAAAATGGGTACCTGGGTGTTAGTCGACTGATGTGGGTCGCATCCTGGGACAAAATTGACCTAATATGCCAGAAATGCTCAGCATAACAAAGGGCTTTCTCTATAGTAGTATGTCATTGATGTCAGCTAGGCATGTATATCTTGTACATGTACTTGGACAAATAAAGATATTATTATTATGATTATTATTATTATGTATATGCAACCTGCTAAAGTACAAACTGCCCGGGTACAACCTGCCTACACTCAACCTGCTAAAGTATAACTTGCCCAGGTACAACCTACCCACATTCAACCTGCTAAATTACAAACTACCCAGGTACAAAATCATGATGTGAACACCTACTTTCCATTTTTTTCTTATTCAACTTTAAAGTTTCTAATTATACTGTATTTTAAAATGTCAAAGTCCCATAATAAATATAAACAAAAGGCAATGGAGAATATTCTACCAGTAACACAAACATGAGGACCTTTTTTTTTTTCACCACAATGGCCATTTCCCACCAAAGTAGGGTGACCCCAGACAGAAAAACATTCACAATCACTCATTCAATAGTACTGTGAATACATAACAAATGATAAAACTTTTAAGATGTTTATACATTTCATAAGGTTGATGGGTTCAACAATGAGGAAATAAGAGACATCCAGTAACATCAAGGGTGTCAATGAGAATACAAAATAGAAATCAAGAACTGGATGCCCATTTAACAAGATACATAAGGAAATAGACTATCTTACAAATATACTTTTTCCACCGTCTAAAATCAATTTCCTTTTTATACTTAAAAATATATCAAAGACTGTATACATGTTCACCATTTCATATCACTCCGCTACTGATAACCTCAACTGCAGCATTTTTCGATACTACAGCATTTCTGCAGCACTCTTTTGTCAATAATTAAGTAACATTGATCATTATATGAATTTTCCTTAAAGACTCCTTTACATTAAAAAAAAGTTGATGTAAGAAATATGCAAGACGTTTGTACAATACATTACCCTCTTCAAGCCGTGGAGCATAGCGTAAAGAGAAGCAATTTGCCCAATGTCATTGCTGACAGTAAATAAAAGACTTCTTGCAATGTCTGCTTCTGAGAAACCTGCGGATTACATGACAAGATTAACATTTGTGTAAATTTGAAAAGCTCATGGTTTAACATGTATCAAAGGATCCATATCAAGCCACTATTGAAAAACAGTGTAACTTGTACATCATTAACTTTAGTGCAAACTGTAGTTACATTACTTGTGAAAAAGATGTTATGTAGATAAAGACACACATGCACAATTCACAATTCAGGGGTTTCAAATAGAGTTAGAGCTAAAGAAAGAGTAGCAATAATGTTGAAGGATAAGCTATGGCAGGAAAAGAGGGACTATAAATGTATTAATTCAAGGATTATGTGGAGTAAAATAAAGATTGGATGTGAAAAGTGGGTTATAGTAAGTGTGCATGCACCTGGAGTCTTAAGAAAGAAGTGTAGAGGAGAGAGAGAGATTTTGGGAAATGTTGAGTGAATGTGTGGGGAGTTTTGAATCAAGTGAGAGAGTAATGGTGGTTGGGGATTTCCATGCTAAAGTGGGTAAAAATGTTATGGAGGGAGTAGTAGGTAAATTTGGGGTGCCAGGGGTAAATGTAAATGGGGAGCCTTTAATTGAGCTATGTGTAGAAAGAGATTTGGTAATAAGTAATACATATTTTATGAAAAAGAGGATAAATAAATATACAAGGTATGATGTAGCACATAATGAAAGTAGTTTGTTAGATTATGTATTGGTGGATAAAAGGTTGATGGGTAGGCTCCAGGATGTACATGTTTATAGAGGGGCAACTGATATATCGGATCATTATTTAGTTGTAGCTACAGTTAGAGAGTAAGAGGTAGATGGGAAAAGAGGAAGGTGGCAACAACAAGTAAGAGGGAGGTGAAAGTGTATAAACTAAGGGAGGAGGAAGTTCGGGGGAGATATAAGCGACTGTTGGCAGAAAGGTGGGCTAGTGCAAAGATGAGTAGTGGGGGGTTGAAGAGGGTTGGAATAGTTTTAAAAATGCAGTATTAGAATGTGGGGCAGAAGTTTGTGGTTATAGGAGGGTGGGGGCAGGTGGAAAGAGGAGTGATTGGGGGAATGATGAAGTAAAGGGTGTGATAAAAGAGAAAAAGTTAGCTTATGAGAGGTTTTTACAAAGCAGAAGTGTTATAAGAAAAGCAGAGTATATGGACAGTAAAAGAAAGGTGAAGAGAGTGGTGAGAGAGTGCAAAAGGAGAGCAGATGATAGAGTGGGAGAGGCACTGTCAAGAAATTTTAATGAAAATAAGAAAAAATTTTGGAGTGAGTTAAACAAGTTATGAAAGCCTTGGGAAAGTATGGATTTGTCAGTTAAAAATAGAGTAGGGGAGTTAGTAGATGGGGAGAGGGAGGTATTAGGTAGATGGCGAGAATATTTTGAGGAACTTTTAAATGTTGAGGAAGAAAGGGAGGTGGTAATTTCATGCACTGGTCAGGGAGGTATAACATCTTTTAGGAGTGAAGAAGAGCAGAATGTAAGTGTGGGGGAGGTACGTGAGGCATTACGTAGAATGAAAGGGGGTAAAGCAGCTGGAACTGATGGGATCATGACAGAAATGTTAAAAGCAGGGGGGATATAGTGTTGGAGTGGTTGGTACTTTTGTTTAATAAATGTACGAAAGAGGGGAAGGTACCTAGGGATTGGCAGAGAGCATGTATAGTCCCTTTATATAAAGGGAAAGGGGACAAAAGAGATTGTAAAAATTATAGAGGAATAAGTTCATTGAGTATACCAGGAAAAGTGTATGGTAGAGTTATAATTGAAAGAATTAGAGGTAAGACAGAATGTAGGATTGCGGATGAGCAGGGAGGTTTCAGAGTGGGTAGGGGATGTGTAGATCAAGTGTTTACATTGAAGCATATATGTGAACAGTATTTAGATAAAGGTAGGGAAGTTTTTACTGCATTTATGGATTTAGAAAAGGCATATGATAGAGTGGATAGGGGAGCAATGTGGCAGATGTTGCAAGTATATGGAATAGGTGGTAAGTTACTAAATGCTGTAAAGAGTTTTTATGAGGATAGTGAGGCTCAGGTTAGGGTGTGTTGAAGAAAGGGAGACTACTTCCCGGTAAAAGTAGGTCTTAGACAGGGATGTGTAATGTCACCATGGTTGTTTAATATATTTATAGATGGGGTTGTAAAAGAAGTAAATGCTAGGGTGTTCGGGAGAGGGGTGGGATTAAATTATGGGGAATCAAATTCAAATTGGAATTAACACAGTTACTTTTTGCTGATGATACTGTGCTTATGGAGATTCTAAAGAAAAATTGCAAAGGTTAGTGGATGAGTTTGGGAATGTGTGTAAAGGTAGAAAGTTGAAAGTGAACATAGAAAAGAGTAAGGTGATGAGGGTATCAAATGATTTAGATAAAGAAAAATTGGATATCAAATTGGGGAGGAGGAGTATGGAAAGAAGTAAATGTTTTCAGATACTTGGGAGTTGACGTGTCGACGGATGGATTTATGAAGGATGAGGTTAATCATAGAATTGATGAGGGAAAAAAGGTGAGTGGTGCATTGAGGTATATGTGGAGTCAAAAAACGTTATCTATGGAGGCAAAGAAGGGAATGTATGAAAGTATAGTAGTACCAACACTCTTATATGGGTGTGAAGCTTGGGTGGTAAATGCAGCAGCGAAGAGACGGTTGGAGGCAGTGGAGATGTCCTGTCTAAGGGCAATGTGTGGTGTAAATATTATGCAGAAAATTCGGAGTGTGGAAATTAGGAAAAGGTGTGGAGTTAATAAATGTATTAGTCAGAGGGCAGAATAGGGGTTGTTGAGGTGGTTTGGTCATTTAGAGAGAATGGATCAAAGTAGAATGACATGGAAAGCATATAAATCTATAGTGGAAGGAAGGCGAGGTAGGGGTCGTCCTCGAAAGGGTTGGAGAGAGGGGGTAAAGGAGGTTTTGTGGGCAAGGGGCTTGGACTTCCAGCAAGCATGCATGAGCGTGTTAGATAGGAGTGAATGGAGACGAATGGTACTTGGGACCTGACAATCTGTTGGAGTGTGAGCAGGGTAATATTTAGTGAAGGGATTCAGGGAAACCGGTTATTTTCATATAGTCGAACTTGAGTCCTGGAAATGGGAAGTACAATGCCTGCACTTTAAAGGAGGGGTTTGGGATATTGGCAGTTTGGAGGGATATGTTGTGTATCTTTATACATATATGCTTCTAAACTGTTGTATTCTGAGCACCTCTGCAAAAACAGTGATTATGTGTGAGTGTGGTGAAAGTGTTGAATGATGATGAAAGCATTTTCTTTTTGGGGATTTTCTTTGTTTTTTGGGTCACCCTGCCTCGGTGGGAGACAGCCAACTTGTTGAAAAAAAAAAAAAAATGTGCATATGATATTTGCCTTTTGGAGAACATCTGAAGTGTCGTATCTACGCACCCTCTGGCATGACAGTGATAGTGTGAAAGATGGTGAAAGTGTTTCTTTTTCAGGTCACCCTGCCTTGGAAGGAGATGGCCAGTGTGTTAAAAAAAAAAAAGAATGTGCATGTATGTCTATCTACATTCCGTCAGTATGACCATACATTTTCATTCAAAAGATGCCATAACATCATGACTTTATAAATAGTAGCAACTTCTGCAAATTAACACCTCCACCATAATACTGTAACAATAATGCTCAAATTTTTAGTGATCATCTACTTACAAAAGTATACTGGCCTATAATAAGTACCAAATTTTAGGGCAAATATTAATGTACAGTTCTACACACTACTTTACATAAGTACAGTATATATTAAACATAAAAGCATGTAAACAAAAGTGAATCCAATATTCAGCCTATGTACAATATTTCATTGTACGGCATGCAGTCACAATGTTTCAAGATAGCTTCTACAGCAGTGCCAACGCTAATTATTAGAAACTATTATATAGTATGTACTGTACAATTATTTATAAACATTCGCCTGCTAACTCTGCCTCATTCCTAACTCACTGGCATACAGATGATGTAAAACCAACACACACACACACACATATGCACACACAAACACACACACACACACACACACATACACACACACACACACACACACACACACCACACACACACACACACACACACACACACACACATACACACACACACACACACACACACACACACACACACACACACACACACACACATTCTTTCTCACTTTGTCCCTCTCTCTTCTCAAATGCACTCAAACAGGACATAAACAGACAGGTAAATTGAATTTACTTGGATTTCAGTAATTTTATTTTTGTATACAGTATAGAAATTAAATGGGAAATTAGAATTATGTATACTGTATAAGAGAAACTTTCATTTTTTTTTTTTTGGCCACCCTGCTTTGGTGGAATACGGCCGGTTTGTTGAAAAAAAAAATATACTGTATACTATATTGTATGTGCAGTATCTGAATAAATCTGAAGAAATTTATTTCTGTACATTTCCAATTAAGCTAATTTATTTGCCAAAATTATTACAAACAAAACATTGCAATTTGTGGAAAGTTTGCTAGAGATCATGTGAGCAACACTCATGACCTCTACCCTACCAGCACTAAGTTAACGTAGTAGCCTATACAGTCTTCATTCTGTGTAACAGCGCTATAGCACTACTTTCCCAAAGTCAAAAGCATAGACCACAGTTCTGAAACTTACTGTATGGCTAATCATTATAGAAGTCTTTACTTCTTCATTTGTTATATAGGGCACTGCTATTATAATAAATTAAAATACAGGTGAATCAGTGGAGGCAAATACACACTAGTTTATAGACTTATTTCCTGACTGATTTTATTTGCATTAAATATATATAGTAAAATAAATGTAACACACTATATTTAGACTTTATAGACATCTTCAGGATGTACTGTAGTACACATATCGGTGAATCTGTAAAAATATCAGCACATCTTATTGAAGTTTTTGTCACTACACATGTGTTATTAATGATGTACAATGTAATATTGAGACACCAATCACACAGTGTAGAGCCTAGATTAATTTACAGTTCTATAGTACTCCCATTATTATAGTAATATTTAATCATGGGAAAAGTCTCAACCCACAAAGGTCATAAAGTGCAAGGTAGCTTCATTTCCTTCAATCAAGAGCCCTTCAGCAGCACCAAAGCATCCTGCAAACCCTTCCTTCCCCTTTAACTTTTGAGTTAAGTTCAATTCCCAAAGTTTTAAACATTAGTATAAAAGCACGGTGCACTTATTAATACAAAATGTTAAACCATACTACAATTCAAATGATAAGGTGGTGTAAGGTTCATTAATAACATCAACACTATTAGTTATAGAATTTCAAGCAGTGGTATATTATAACTTTCTTAGAAAGCTCTCAAAAAAAACAAAGACAGAAAGACAAAACGGTACTGTACCACATGTAGCAAAATTTCAGTCTTATTACAATATGCAGTTTCAGAATGCCCTTCTGTACTTAAAATAGTAGTACCTTAGAGAGTTTATTTAAATAAAGCAAACAATTGCACTATACCGAGTAGAATGCTTGGGCAGTCATGTAACAGATGCAGTGTCTTCTCCCTGGACCTGTGACACCATCTGTCATCTACACTACAAAAAATTCTTAATGCACCTTAATTTTGGTTTTACTGTAATCAACTGTTTTATATTGTACTGTATTTAATGAAGTGCTAAAGCAATGTCAATCATTCCACAGACTAGCGTAAGCCAAATTCTCAATTCCCTAATTGCAGCCTGGTCTCTGACTATATGCAAAAAAACTTGCATTTTATAGGAGATTGAAACTTATGATGACGTTTCAGCCTGACTTGGATCATTAATGGCCCAAGTTGAACTGAAATGCCCTCATAAGTTTCTTTCTCCTATATGCGGGTTATTTGTGTATTGTTCCAGTTACAGTATTGTGCCTTTTAATTCTTTTTGGTCTCTGACTATGCAGGCTGTTGGTGATCCAGCTAAATTGCTTTACAGGGATTTAAACATACTTCAACATAACACAAATGTTTTGACAAAAATTTACACAAAAGGATTTTATTCCATGCTCAAGAGTTCAGCACACCACACAGCCTCCCCCGCCCTCACAAAAACATTATTTTTAAGGCTTAGCCACACCTTGTTCCATGAACTGTGGTCAACTGATTTGACTGTTCCCTCATACCTCTTGAGTGCCTGGCCAGGTGACATTTCATGCACTTATCATCTGTTCAAAGATATCCAAAAGTCGTGACCTTATTACATTACGTTTTACTAAAATATTAGAAGCATTTAGGTCTACCCACCACAGGAGGAGGACCCATGTGAAATCCATAGTATCAAAAGAAAATATATCATGATTTATGAAATAAAATGCATTATTAATAAGAACAGTACAATAGTCTAATTTTAAACTATAAGAACATACCTGAGAAAATATTAAAATCAACAATAAAGTAGTCAAAAACAACTTCTGATAAATGTATTATATTATTTATCTAACTGCAACCAAAGAATAAGAAATTAAGTAACCACAAAACATGAAAACAAATCATTGATGTCATATACAACATAATAATCAATTAAGACAAAATACTGCACAGAGTAAAGAGAGAAATGGCATCAAGAGAATCCAAAAAAGAAATAAAGAGAGAAATTTTAAAATGCAGTTCACACAGAAACACCATATTATTGTATAATGCAGTAATGTCTTGACAAGACGTGGTTGAGGTCAAGTGAAAATACGAGAAATTCAAAGCATGTACAGGTATATGTGCTGAAATATTCCAAAAGAAAAGTGACCACCCAAGATATCTAAGCTGGTAACCTCTTGTCTGCAAATTTAATGACCATTAACCCCTTCCTTATCATTATACATCAACCATGAAATCTAAAGGGTCAGCTAGTAATATTGGAAGTTGAAAGTAAAAATGAAAAGCATAAATGTACACTGATGCTCAAGGAAATAAAATGTCGCTGAAAATGTGGAATGAATGATATGAACATTCATAAATTCAAAATGAATATAAAAACCATAAGGGTGTGTACTGCTGGTAGCAAATACACAAGACAATTTAATGAACATGTGGACTGAAGGGAATTTGCACTCTGTGCACTGCAATCAGAAAGGTGCACAAGATCTTTGGAACAGTTTGTAAACAGGATGCTATATCTTCAAAAAATGTAAATTTAATTTTGGGTAGCTAATAATTTTAACTCAAAGAAAACAAGAGTACAGAAATTAATCTTCAAGAAGTCAAAGCTGCCAGAATGATTTTATATTACTGATAGAACTACTGAAAAATAATAGTGTTGATACAACCATAATGTGCTCCATTTTTGTTCATGGTTTGGACATGTAGAGAGGGTGGAGAAAAATAGGATGATGGAAGTTGTATAAATCTGTAGCAGAGGGAAGGAAGGGTAGGGGTCATCATAGGAAAGGTTGGAGGGGTAAATAAGGTTTTGTGTATAAGGGGCTTGGACATCCAGCAGGCATGTGTGAGCATGTTAAGATAGGGGTGGAAGCAAATGTTTTTTGGGATTTGATGATCTGTTGGAAGGTGAGAAAGGTAACATTTTGTGAATGGATTCACAGAAAGTGGTTAGCTAGACTTAAGTTCTGGAGGTGGAAGCACAGTGCCTACACTCTGAAGGAGGGGTGGAGATATTTGCAGTTTGGCAGGGCATCTGAACTGTAGTATCAGCATGCCTGTGGCAAGACAGTGATAGAGTGAATGATGGTAAAAGTGTTTCTTTTTTGGGGGGTCACCCTATCTCGGTGGGAGAGAGCCAATGTGTTAAAGAAAAAACACAGAGTAAGGAGTAAAATGACTTATAACAGTCCTAAAGGAGGACCAGATTTGATGAAGGAATATATGGAAGCAATATACCAGTGAACAGGATGCAAGAACAAACAAATATGAGCACACAGTACAACATACCTGGACTATCATCATTTTTGGTGTGGCCATGATGCATAGCTTTGCCAAAACTTGAGGCTATTATTCCTCCAGTTAAACCCAAGGCACTGTAGTCACCTCCTGTAAGAGAAGATGCCTTACTTAATATTTTCCTTCATCCATTAGTATTAATTACATACATTATTATCAAAGATTAGGTCCTTAATATTTCTCAAACCATGCATGGTACATAATGAAATGGTCTACTCTACATATTTTTTTTTTTAACACGTCTGCCATCTCCCACCGAGGCAGGGTTACCTAAAAGAAAAATAACCCAAAAAGAAAGAAAAAACTGTCGCTATCAGTCAACACTTTCACCATCACTCATACATAATCACTGTCTTTGCAGAGGGGCACAGATACGACAGTTTAGAAGTCCCTCCAAATTGCCAATATCCCAAACGCCTCCTTTAACCCTTTCCGGGTCCCCAGGCCCTCTCCCAGACTTGTTCTCAGGGTTGCCCAAATTTCAAAAAAAAAAAAAAAAAAATTCTTATGAAAAGATAGAGAATCTTTTCCCGGTCATAAGACACCAAAAGTATGAAATTTGATGGAAAACTTATGGAATTATGCTCTTGCGAAGTTAGCGGTCTCAACGATGTTTACACACCGGTGATTTTACCTACTTTGAGCCCTATTTTCAGCCAATTCCTCTGTACTAGTCGACAAAAATTATAACTATTTCACTAGAACTCAATTTTTTATATCAAATGAGTACAAGAAACCACCCATTTACCGATTTCAACTATCCAATACAGTGGTCAGAATTTAGCAATTTTGCCAATTTCACACAAATTTCAAAAGATGCCAATTTCCAAATAGGGTCCAGAATAAACAAGAAAGACATTCCTGGCACTAAAATAACATTTTCTCTGTTCATTAGTCACATCCCCAGGCCCCTCTTACATTCTTTTGCTTTCCATTTTGAATTTTTATTCTCACAAAAAATAGAAGATTTACTGTTATGCAGACTACTGCATTAGTGTAGAAATGGTATAAATAATATCGGCGCACTTGTGAAAGAATATTAGACTCACCAGCTGACGTGTATTGGACACTTAGCATGATTTGTTTACTTTTGAACTTTGGTAAAAATCGAACATTTCTGCTATTTTGAGCTCAATTTCAAGATACTTTTCATTGTAAAACCAGTCTGTAATATGTCTTCCATTCTATAAAATGAGACCAGGAAAACTAGAATACAACAATAAATACCATACGAAAATACAGTGCAAAGTCTCTGTTTTAATCCAAAAACGCAAAGTTTTTTTTTCTCATAACGCACTGTGTGCTGCAGGATTTTTTTTATACTGCATACACTGAGCACATAGACCCATTCTTTCATATGTAGGCCTACCAGTTTTCTCTCACTAGATCTGAGGGCGCTAGAATTTAGGAGTACTAGTACATCAAAAACCCTGGTGCGTAAGCCGTACTAGTACGTCCGAAACCCTGAAAGGGTTAAAGTGCAGGCATTGTACTTCCCATTTCCAGGACTCGAGTCCGGCTAACCAGATTCCCTGAATCCCTTCACAAAATATTACCCTGTTCCCACTCCCACAGCTCATCAGGTCCCAAAAACCATTCATTTCCATTCACTATCTAACATGCTCATGCATGCTTCCTGGAAAACCAAGCCCCTCACTCACAAAACCTCTCTACCCCCTCTCTCCAATCTTTTCGAGGACAACCCCTACCCCGCCTTCTTTCCCCTACAGATTTACATGTTCTCCAAGTCATTCTACTTTGTTCCATTCTCTCTAAATGACCAAACCACCTCAACAACCCCTCTTCAGCCCTCTGACTAATAATTTTAGTAACTCCACACCTCTTCCTAATTTCCACACTACGAATTCTCTGCCTAATATTTACACCACACATTGCCCTTAGACATGACATCTCCACTGCCTCCAGCCACCACCTCGCTGCAGCATTTACAACCCAAGCTTCACACCCATATAAGAGTGCTGGTACCACTACACTATCGTACATTCCCTTCTTTGCCTCCATAGATAACGTTTTTTGTCTCCACAGATACCTCAACACACCACTCACCTTTTTTCCTTCATCAATTCCATGGTTAACCTCATCCTTCATAAACCCATCTGCTGACAAGTCAACTCTCAAATATCTGAAAACATTCACTTTTTCCATACTCCTCCTCCCCAATTTGATATCCAATTTTTCTTTATCTAAATCATTTGATACCCTCATCACCTTACTCTTTTCTATGTTCACTTTCAACTTTCTACCTTTACACACATTCCCAAACTCATCCACTAACCTTTGTAACTTCTCTTTAGAATCTCCCAAAAGCACAGTATCATCAGCAAAAAGTAACTGTGTCAATTCCCATTTTGTATCTGATTCCCCATAATTTAATCCCACCCCTCTCCCCAACACCCTAGCATTTACTTCTTTTCCAACCCCATCTATAAATACAGTACATTAACCAACCATGGTGACATTACACATCCCTGTCTAAGACCTGCTTTTACCGGGAAGTAATCTCCGTCTCTCCTACACACCCTAACCTGAGCCTCACTATCCTTATAAAAACTATTTACAGCATTTAGTAACTTACTACCTATTCTATGCACGTGCAACATCTGCCACATTGCTTCCCTATCCATTCTATCATATGCCTTTTCTAAATCCATAAATACAATGAAAATTTCCCTACCTTTATCCAAATACAGGTCTCCCTCAACATTCGCGAGGGTTAGGGGATCAAGAGCCTCGCGAATGTTGAAAAATCGTTTAAGTTTGGTGCCCCAATATATTGTAGGGAAATATAATACAGTACTGCTTCCTTAACTTGTTGAACCATGAACAATCATAAAATACATGAAAATGTCGTAAAATATTATACTAAATACATATACATGTTATGGTTTAATAACATGTATGTTATTAAATACCACTGCCTCCACCAGTACCTCAACCACTACCTCAACCCCTGCGGTGCACTGCTCGTATTTTGGTACAATTTCTTTCTTCAATTTTATCATGTTTCTCAATTTCTTTACCAAAGGGCTGGCACTAGCAAGTTTCTTTGGGCCCATGGTTAATTATGTGGCAGTCGCACTCAATCTGCAAGCACCAAACACACTGAATTATTGTGAAATGTTTGGAAGAGCGTGGAGACTAATGCTCACTCCAGCATAAACAAAGGCACATTGACTGACGATGCCTCAACCACTTCCTCCACCACTGCTTCAACCCTCGTATTTTTGTACAATTTCCTTCTTCAGTTCTATCGTATTATTATTATTATTATTAATATGGTAGAACTGAAGAAGGAAATAGTACAAAAATACGAGGGTTGAAGCAGTGGTTGATGCATCATCAGTGTGGCTTTGTTTATGCTGGAGTGAGCATTAGTCTCCACACTCTTCCAAACATTTCACAATAATTCACTGTGTTTGGCACTTGTAGATTGAGTGCAACTGGAGTGGTAGAGGCATTGGTATAGGCATTGGTTGAGGCATTGGTTGAGGCAGTGGTTGAGGCAGTGGTTGAGGCAGTGGTAGAGACAGTGGTAGAGACAGTGGTAGAGGCAGTGGTAAAGGCAGTGGTAAAGGCAGTGGTAAAGGCAGTGGTAGAGGCAGCTGTTGAGGCAGTGGTTGAGGGAGTGGTTTTTAATAACATAATAATAATAATAATAATAATAATAATAATAATAATAATAATAATAATAAAAATAATACATGTTATTAATAATAACATGTATTATTATTATTAATAACATATATCTTATTAAATAACACTGCCTCAACCGCTGCCTCAACCACTGCCTCAACCACTGCCTCAACCACTGCCTCAACCACTGCCTCAACCACTGCCTCAACCACTGCCTCAACCACTGCCTCAACCACTGCCTCTACCGCTGCCTCTACCGCTGCCTCAACCGCTGCCTCAACCACTGCCTCAACTGCTGCCTCAACTGCTGCCTCAACTGCTGCCTCTACCACTCCAGTCGCACTCAATCTACAAGCACCAAACACAATGAATTATTGTGAAATGTTTGGAAGAGCACAGAGACTAATGCTCACTCTAGCATAAACAAAGCCACACTGACTGACGATGCCTCAACCACTTCTTCCACCACTGCTTCAACCCTCGCATTTTTGAACAATTTCCTTCAATTCTGTCGTATTATTATTATTATTATTATCATTAGCAGTAGCAGAAATGTTTGATTCTTTGCCATGTTTAAGAGTAAACATATGATGTCACCGTCCAATACCTGTCCGAATAGCCATTCCAATATTCAGTCATGAATGGGTTGACATTATTTATACTGTAGTTTAATAGCAAATAATGAACAAACAAAACACTACACTGAGTGGTGGGAGGGTTGGCTGCCAGTTGTTGGGGTCGGAGGAAGGGTAGTAGGGACTCGCGGGTGGCGGGAAACTTAAATATGATTTGGTGGCTGGGAATTTGGCAGTTGGGAATTTGGTGGTTGGGAATTCGTGAATGTGTGAAGCCCGCGAAAGTTGAAAACGCAAATGTTGAGGGAGACCTGTACTGTTCACATATATGCTTATGTTTCAATTTAAACACTTGATCTACACATCCCCTACCCACTCTAAAGCCTCCTTGCTCATCTGCAATCCTGCTCTGTCTTATCTCTAATTCTTTCAATAATAACCCTACTGTACACTTTACCTGGTACAGTGGAACCCCAAATACTGGCCATAATCCGTTCCAGAAGGTCGGCCTAAATTTGAAAAGGCCTAAATTCGAAACAATATTTCCCATAAGAATTAATGTATATACAATTAATCCGTTCCAGACACCCAAAAATATTAAAAAAATACATTTTTTTTAAAGATTAATTATAGTTTTACATACACAAAACAATGAAAACTAAATAAAATAAATGAACATTTAAATCACCATTACATACCTTTATTGAAGACTCTTGTTGGCTTATGGAAGACAGGGAGGAGGAGGGAGGACTGATTATTGTCTGGAAGAGGAATCCCCCTCCATAAGGACTTTAGGTATCAAAGCCCTCTCTGGGGTTACTTCCCTCCCTGACTGCTACACTCCCTGCATGCCTGCTACACTCCCTGCATGCCTGCTACACTCTGCCTGCCTGCTACACTCCCTGCCTGCCTACTACACTCCCTGCCTGCCTGCTACACTCCCTGCCTCTCTCCACATCTTCCATTATTTGTAATCTCTTTTTCATTAAGATATTTACCCCTTTTGTAGGTAGTAGGTTGGTAGACAGCAACCGCCCAGGGAGGTACTACCATCCTGCCAAGTGAGTGTAAAACGAAAGCCTGTAATTGTTTTACATGATGGTAGGATTGCTGGTGTCTTTTGTCTGTCTCATAAATATGCAAGATTACAGGTAGTCTTGCTACTTCTTCTTACACTTAGGTCACACTACACATACGTGTACAAGCATATATATACACACCCCTCTGGGTTTTCTTCTATTTTCTTTCCAGCTCTTGTTCTTGTTTATTTTCTCTTATCTCCATGGGGGAGTGGAACAGAATTCTTCCTTTGTAAGCCATGAGTGTCGTAAGAGGCGACTAAAATGCCGGGAGCAAGGGGCTAGTAACCCCTTCTCCTGTATATATTACTAAATTTAAAAGGAGAAACCTTAGTTTTTTCTTTTGGGCCACCCCGCCTCGGTGGGATACGGCTGGTATGTTGAAAGAAGAAGAAGATTTACCCCTTTCACCAATTCAGCTTCCTTGATTTGTTCTTTCTTTGCCAGGATACAAGTGACTGTTGATTTGTTTTTGCCATACATCCTGGCAAGCTGGAGCACACGCACACCACTCTCGTATTTTTCTACAATTTCTTTCTTCAAGTCTATTGTGTTTCTAGCTTTCTTTACCAAAGGGCTGGCACTAGAAACTTTCTTTGGGCCCACGGTGGCTTATTTCACATTGTACTTAATAAACAAGCACAAAAACTAATGGATTTTAAGGAAATGTTTGGATGAATGCGCAGAGTATATGCTCATTCTCCAAGAGACACAGGGAGACTGACTCACCTATGCTCGGTGTCCCGGCAGGAGGCGGGCTGATGCGTCTAATACGGCCGATTTGCAAGGCACTGGCCAGAATACGGAGCAAAATTTCGGCCCAAAAACCGGCCTAAACACGATTCGGCCGATAAATGCAGTGGCTGATATTTGGGGTTCCACTGTATACCCAGTAAATTTATTCCCCTATAATTTTTACAATCTCTTTTGTCCCCCTTCCCTTTATATAAAAGAACTATACACACACTCTGCCAATCCCTAGGTACCTTCCCCTCTTTCATACATTTATTAAACAAAAATATCAACCACTCCAACACTATATCCCCCCCTGCTTTTAACATTTCTGTCTTGATCCCATCAGTTCCAGCTGCTTTATCCCCTTTCATTCTATGTAATGCCTCACGTACCTCCACCACACTCACATCCTGCTTTTCTTCACTCCTAAAAGATGTTATGCCCTCCTGGCCAGTGCATGAAATTACTGCCTCCCTTTCTTCATCGACATTTAAAAGTTCCTTAAAATATTCCCACCATCTACCCAATACCTCCAGCTCCCTGTCTACTAACTCCCCTGCACTGTTTTTAACTGACAAATCCATTTGTTCCATAGGCTTTTTTAACTTATTTCACTCCAAAAATTTTTCCTAATCTCGGCAAAATTTCTTGACAGTGCCTCTCCCACTTTATCATTTGCTCTCCTTTTACACTCTCTCACCACTTTCTTCACCTTTCTTTTACTCTCCATATACTCTGCCCTTCTTATATCACTTCTGTTTTGTAAAAACCTCTAATAAGCTACCTTTTTTTCTTTTATCACACCCTTTACTTCATCATTCCACTAATCCTCTTTCCTCCTGCACCCACCCTCCTATAGCCACAAATTTCTGCCCCACATTCTAATACAGTACTGCATTTTTAAATAAATACATAAATCTTTCTTTGAACAAACCGGCCGTATCCCACCAAGGCAGGGTGGCCCAAAAAGAAAAACAAAAGTTTCTCTTTTCAAATTTAGTAATTTATACAGGAGAAGGGGTTACTAGCCCCTAGCCCCTTGCTCCTGGCATTTTAGTCGCCTCTTACAACACGCATGGCTTACGGAGGAAGAATTCTGTTCCACTTCCTCATGGAGAAAATACATAAATATTTTACTTAATTAATTTACTTAACAAATCTCTTTGTTATAAATGTTTTTACACATTAAATTTATTCCTACATCTCTCTCAAATTAGATAGTAGGCTGGTAGACAGCAACCGCTCAGGCAGGTACTACCGTCCTGCCAAGTGTGTGTAAAACGGAAGCCTGTAATTGTTTTACATGATGGTAGGAATGCTGGTGTATTTTTTCTGTCTCATAAACATATGAGATTTCAGGTACATCCTGCTACTTCTACTTACACTTAGGTCACACTATACATGCATGTACAAGCATATACTGTACATGCACACCCCTCTGGGTTTTCTTCTATTTTCTTGCTAGTTCTTGTTCCTGTTTATTTCCTTTTGTCTCTATGAGGAAGTGGAAAAGAATTCTTCCTTTGTAAGACATGCTTGTCATAAGAGGCAACTAACATGCCGGGAACAAGGGGCTAGTAACCCCTTCTCCTGTATACATTACTAAAGTTAAAAAGATAAACATTTGTTTTTCTTTTTGGGCCACCATGCTTTGGTGGGATATGGCCGGTTTGTTCAAAGAAGAAAGAAGATATCTCTCAAGATGTTTACAAAAAAAAAAAGCAGTGCATACTGTAGTATACTGTATACACATCTTCAAAAGTTTCCTTAAATATGTAATGACTAAAAGAAAGACTGAAGCAATGTTAGTTTCTATGTACCTCAGACATTCATTATGTTTGTCTCAATCTGACCACTCCCTGATGCTCACCATATATATCCTTGACAAGAAGGTCAACATTGCGATGGTCTCCTTCACTGGCCAGCTGCAGAAGCTCATCAAATCCTTTTGCCTTGGTCAACAGTGACCCAAGTCCCCAAAATGTTCCACCACCCATACTGGTACCACCAATTCGATCATATTTATCATCTGCTTCAACCTGTAATGAAAAGACAATCCTTACATTGCCAAGGTTTGTAAGGTAAATGTTCATTATTCAGGGAGCCCCTGCATTAACTGTGCGAGAAGTTGATACAGTTGAAACCACAAGCAAAACAAACTTAAATCAAGATAATTAGGCAAAACAATACATAAGTTTATAATCATATTCTTTTGAAGTATCTTAATTGAAATATTAGTGTTGGTATTACATGTTCAAAAATATTTACCTAATATATCCATTCAAGCATTTGTTAATCTAACCCTGGTTCTTTGGTACAAAAGCAAAAATATAACTAGTCTCCTTACTTTCATAATGCTAACACCAGAACCAATATTGACCAAAAGATATGGGAAAATATGAGGTTCAGTGTTAATAAAGCGGTATTCTGGGTCTTCGTGTCTGCTGTATGAGAATTGCTCATCAGGAATGTTTCGCAGCAAAAAGTTGCATCCCTTAATTAGGCTGCCAATCTCATCTTCCTTTTCCACCCTAATGAAAAGGAATATTCATCTTATTTAAAAATGCCAGAAATACATATGGAAAATAGAAAATACTGCATTATTAAACAATATTAGGTCAGTTTAACTTTATACACATTCTGCCACATTTTTCCAAAAATAGACTTACGTTAGTCCTAGTTTTTGTTGAATCAACTCTGCATACTTATAAGCTCCACCACCAGTTGCTTTTATACTCTTTCCTGCCATAGATTCCTTACTGAAGACCAGGTGGTTTCGTATAAAATCTAAGCAGTGTTCAATATACTTTGTTTCAAATTTGACAAAGTGCAACCGTTCTGTCTCTGAGCTCTCATACTGGTAATCCTTACCATCAACCTGAGGAGGAAAAGCACCTATAAATGACTCCTTGTAACAATAACTTATCATTCTATTAAATCAATGTTATAAAAATACATGGCAAAGCCTCTTTCATACAATTCAATTAATTTTACATATAACAAGGCTTAATTTCAAAATTTTTCTGACATTTAAATTTCTATGACTTTTTTTTTAAACATGCTGGCCCTCTCCCACTAAGGAAGGTGACCTGAAAAAGAAACATTTTCACCATCACTCGCAGTATCACTGTCAAAATACACTCAATCTTCTTGCATACTTATTCTTGCTCAGTTCACTCACATTACATTCTTTAAATTGATGAAAAACACCATGTAACTACTGTCAATATATCCTAATGTATTGTTCTACACTTATTAATGCCCTCTTGAGTCACTCTGCAGAGAACTTCAGCAGTTCTTCATGTTATTTTCTAGTGTTGCACATTGTTGAAATACCAACACAGCACAATCAAATGTACAACAGTACAGTACACCAAGATGGATGCATGCATCTTCTCCTGCTTAAAGAAAGAACAATTTCTACATGTTATGGTGAAAGAAATAGAGTAATACAGAATATGTCTCCTTAAAATGTATAAGAAATATTAGTTTAAAAAGATTCCCGAGTTAAGGAAGCTATGTAAATTTTAATGTAAAATACAACAACAAAGAGAAAACAACATCAAAGAGAAAATGAGCAGATTGACGGACAAAATAACCAAACTGGAAAAAAAACAGGTAAGACAGGAAGGGCTGATAGACAAATTTAGTAAAGGAAAGACTGATTATTTTCAGCTTTGCTGAAAAAGAAATTAAATCAAACTCAGAAAGAGACAAAAAAAAAAAAATCACATTTGAGAATTTCAGCATTCAAGAAACAGAAGAGGAAAAGATGAAAAAAAAAAAAAACAGGACATTGACAACAACAATCACAGAGGTTAAGCAAGACTAAATTATATGCAACATATTCTAATTACTGACCAAATACCACACATCTTCAGCTCTTTGCTGAGGACATGACCTATATCTTACCCTAATCTGACCTCATCTTTAAACACTATAGTTAATGATAAACTAAAAAAAAAAGGTCTGCAACTGAATGATAACAAATAAACTCAGGGTTTCTGATGTACTAGTATGGCTTACTCACCAGGGTTATTGACGTACTAGAACACCTAAATTCTAGCGCCTTCATATCTAGGGAGAGAAAGCTGGTAGGCCTACATATGAAAGAGTGGGTCTATGTGGTCAGTGTGCAAAGTATAAAAAAAAACCTGCAGCACACAGTGCATAATGAGAAAAAAAACTACGACCGTGTTTTTGGTTTAAAACAGCGACTTTGCAGTGTATTTTCGTATGGTATTTATGGTTGTATTCTAGTTTTCCTGGTCTCATTTTAAAGAACGGAAGACATATTACAGAAATTGAGATGATTTTGATTGGTTTCATAATGAAAAGTACCTTGAAATTGAGCACAAAGTAGCAGAAATGTTTGATTTTTACCAAATTTCAAAAGTAAACGAATCATGCCAAGCATCCAATACATGTCAACTGGCGAGTCTAATATTCTTTCACAAGTGCACTGATATTATTTATACCATTTCTACACCATTTCTACACTAATGCAGTAGTCTGCATAACAGTAAATCTTCTATTTTATGTGAGAATAAAAATTCAAAATGGAAAGCAAAAGAGATGTAAGAGGGGGCCTGGGGATGTGACTAATGAACAGAGAAAATGTTATTTTAGTGCCAGGAATGTCTGTCTTGCTTATTCTGGACCCTATTTGGAAATTGGCATCTTCTGAAATTTGTGTGAAATTGGCAAAATTATCAATTTCTGACCACTTTATTGGATACTTGAAATCGGTAAATGGGTGGTTTCTTGTACACATTCGATAGAAAAAATGAAGTTCTAGCAAAATAGATATGATTTTTGTCAACTAGTACACTGAAATTGGCCGAAAATAGGGCTCAAAGTGGGTGAAATCGCCGATGCTTAAACATCATTGAGACCACTAACTTCGCGAGAGCATAATTCCATAAGTTTTCCATCAAATTTCATACTTTTGGTGTCATTATGATCAGGAAAAGATTCTCTATCATTTCATAACAAAAAATAATTTTTTTTTTACAAAAAATTTTCGACCCTGAGAACAAGTTTAGGAGAGGGCCTCTCGACCCTGAAAGGGTTAATACAGAAAAAACTTTTTACGTCAGTTTTGGGGATAAATTATGTCTGCAATTAGATATAAAAATTAATGAATCTGAAGTAGAGAAACAGGATGAGAGCAAGTTCTAGGATTTCTCAGAGCTAGTATACTCTCCAACATTTGTTATTATGTCCCATTAATCTATACTAACAAAATTACCTCTCTCTCATTCACCTGAACCTTCCCTATGGAATCTGTGCTTAAGGTTCTACATCAGCTGTCCACATAAAATGAATTATTATACAATATAAGGAAGCTTTTGGAACAATCACAAATTGAAATTTCAGACAACACACTGACCTTATTTAAATTCCTAAACCTGAATATAAATGCTATACTGTACACACTACTGTCCACTCCAAATCTGCAAAATGCTATACAGTAATGCTGATGCTGGACCCAAGACTTTTCCTGGAAAACTGAACAGAACACACAGGTAATCACACTTGAAACAAATACAGTATATCTCTGATATTGACAGTGTTTGCTTGAACCTCTATAGAAACTTGATTCAGATAAGAGCCAAAAAGGTAAAATAACTTGCCAGTACATTAAAAAAATTAAACTTTAATAAATTCAAACAAATACTTCAGCAAATTTTGCCTAGTTAATGTATTTCCATGAAACAATTTCTAATGTACATATATAGTAGTAGGTTAGTAGACAGCAACAGGGAAGTACATACTACTGTCCTGCCAAATGAGTGTAAGACAGAAACCTGTATTTGTTTTACATGATGGTAGGAGTGCTGGTGTCTTTTTTTGTCTCAGAACCACAAGATATCAAGTATATCTTGTTACTCTTACTTACACTTTGGTCACACTATACATACATGTTTTTTTTTTTTCAACAAGTCGGTCGTCTCCCACCGAGGCAGGGTGACCCAAAAAAAAAAGAAAGAAAATCCCCAAAAAGAAAATACTTTCATCATCATTCAACACTTTCACCACACTCACACATTATCACTGCTTTTGCAGAGGTGCTCAGAATACAACAGTTTAGAAGCATATACGTATAGAGATACACAACATATCCCTCCAAACTGTATATATATACACACTCGTCTGAGTTTTCTGATTTTTTTTAATAGTTCTTGCTCTTATTATTTTCCTTTCATATTCATGGGAAAAGTGGAATAAGAATCTTTCCTCCATAAGCCATGTATGTTGTAAAAGTCAAGTCAAATGCCAGGAGCAATAGGTTAGTAACCCCTTTTCCCATATCACTTACTAAAAATAAAATGAAGAAAATCTTTAAGTTGGGATGTTTGAATGTGTGTGGATGTAGTGTGGATAAGAGATGATTGTGAATGTTATGAATGAAGAGAAGCTGGATGTCCTGGCTCTGAGTGAAAGAAAGCTGAAGGGGGTAGGAGAGTTTCAGTGGGGAGAAATAAATGAGATTAGGTCATGGGTTTCTAACAGAGTTAGAGATAAGGAAGGGGTAGCAATATAATGCTGAAGGATCAATTATGGCAGGAAAAGAAGAAATATAAATGTATAAATTCAAGGATTATGTCGAGTAAATAAGGGTTGGATGTGAAAAGTGGGTTATATATACCTTTGATATACCTTTGAAGAGCTTCGAGAGTTTCTCTACTCTGACCCCAGCCATGGGCCAGGCTTGTCTGGTGCTTGCCTGGTCAACCAGGCTGCTGCTGCTGCTGGAGGCCTGCTGCCCCACATATCCATCACAGCCTGGTTGATCTGGCACATGGTAAAGATACTTATCCAGTTTCCTCTTGAAGGCTTCTATACTTGTTCTAGCCATGTTTCTGATATCTTCTGGTAAGATGTTGAATAGTCTGGGACCCTGGATGTTGATACAGTATTCCTTTGTACCCACCACACCCCTGCTCCTAACTGGGTTTATTTTAGACTTCCTCCCATGTCTCTCACTCCAGTACAGTGGACCCTTAGTTAATGATATTTTTTCAATCCAGAAGTATGTTCAGGTGCCAGTACTGACCGAATTTGTTCCCATAAGGAATATTGTGAAGTAGATTAGTCCATTTCAGACCCCCAAACATACACGTACAAACGCACTTACATAAATACACTTACATAATTGGTCGCATTCGGAGGTGATCGTTATGTGGGGGTCCACTGTATGTTGTTATGGCAGTGTGCAGTTTTGGGACCAGGCCCTCAAGTATACTTTCCCGGTACAGTAGACCGTCGTTTAACACAGTTTTGTCTGGCATGTTTTGGTTATAGCATGATTGAAGAATTGCTGCATATTTTTGTTTAACACTTCATAAAATTAATTTAACATGGTTGCAGGAGGGGAAAAACTTTTGAGCGCGCGGTCGCCCGTGGGGCGGGATGGGCTGTGGGTTACATCACCTACCACCATCCCCTGCCATCCCCACCACCCTCCGCCATCCCCTGCCACCCCCACCACCCTCCCAGCCCGGTTCATATGTGTGTTGGACGAATCTGTGTTAGGAAGGAGCTTGCTGTGTTTTAGGTACATACACTATTTTAATTGCCCTATCTTAAATCTGCCAAGCAATCATGGGACCCAGTAGGCATACAAGAGTTGCTGCAAGTGGCAAGAAAAGGTTTAACCCTTTCAGGGTCCGTCCCGTAGATCTACGGCTTTACGTTCAGGGTCCAAACCGTAGATCTACGTCATGAGCTCAGCTCACTCTGATAAACTGTGAGTGGTACATTTGGGCCTAGATATGAGAGAATACATCTATGTGGTATGTGTGCACCACATAAAACAGATCCTGCAGCACACTGTGTATAATGAGAGAAAAAAAAACTGAAATCATTATTTTT